GCCTGGGGCCGAACACAGTTGCCGGACTAGCTCAGTTGTCATATACTCAATATTTGGTCCACTCAATATCAAAATGCTTTAATTGATTGGTCTCTCACTAATTTATTTCATTTTATTTTATTTTCTAACTGCGAGCCTAGTTTTACAGAATGCTTTACGACCATCCTCCTTCTGGGATGAGAGAGAATGCGGGTTCTCATGACCTTGGGTTCGTAGACGAGTGTAAAAACGCCTTGCTGGAAACAGTAGGATTCGTCTTTCTAAGAGAAAAATCTTTTCCTACTTCGCACCAGTGTCTCTCATGTGTCGGGAGGGGGTGCACGTCGACCAAACGGCTTGGAGTTATCTGTGAATGTGACGAATTCTGTGAGTAGTTTTCATGCTCACTTGCTTCCATCTCACGACTACGTACTGGATGTAAACAAACAACGTCCTTGTGTTTTGTTTCCTTGTTTTGTCCGAATCGCTGCGTGATTTGCGGTAGAATATGAATTCATGAGTTTTATCTTACCTAACTTGGCGTTAACCTTGTGTAATTTCTTTTGCCAGTCTAGATCCGGGTGAGTGCGTTATATACAGTAAAGCATGCGACCCAATAACGTGCATTACGTAGGCCAAAATTGGAAGAAAATTGTTCCTCTTGAGTTTTATCTTACCTAACTTGGCGTTAACCTTGTGTAATTTCTTTTGCCAGTCTAGATCCGGGTGAGTGCGGTATATACAGTAAAGCATGCGACCCCATTCTTCTATTGTTTTTTTTTTCTGTGATGAAGCACCATTAGAGAAAAAAAATTAGACCATATAGTTTCCTCGATCATTTCCAGTGGCAAATATTTTGATAACAAAGGATAACCAAACAATTGTATTATCTCGGTCTATTTAATGTGATATAAATTGGTGGACAATCACACATCCTGTTCCTGTCATTATATTAATTTCCACATTGTATACATTCGTTTTAGTGATATACCATGTGCTAGGTAGAATAGGCTTTCATTTTAGAAACTAATAATACTTTTTCTAGTAGTATACAGTATTGCGTTTTCAGATTAACCATGTGAAGTACTTGTTTATGCATACGTGCGTGCGTGTGTGTATTTACGTGTATTATGTGTTCGGTATCTCTCTCTCGCTCTCTCTCTATATATCTATCTATCCCCCTCTCTCCCCTCTATCTCTCTCTCTTTCTCTGTTTCTCTCTCTCTCTCACTCACTCACTCACTTCACTCACTCACTCACTCACTCACTCTCTCCCTCTTCTCTCTCTCTCCTCTCTCTCTCTCTTCTCTCTCTCTCTCTCTCTCTCTCTCTCTCTCTCTCTCTTCTCTCTCTCTCTCTCTCTCTCCTCTCTCTCTCCTCCCCCTCTTCTCTCCTTCCCCTCTCCCTCCCTCTCTCCCTCCCTCTCCCCCCCCCTCTCTCTCTCTCTCTCTCTCTCTCTCTCTCTCTCTCTCTCTCTCTCTCTCTCTCTCTCTCTCTCTCTCTCTCTCTCTCTCTCTCCTCTCTCCCCCTCCCTTCCCTCTCCCTTCTCCCTCTCCCTCTCCCTCTCCCTCTCCCTCCTCCCTCTCTCTCTCCCTGTCTCCCTCTCTCCCTCCTCCCTCCCTCCCTCCCTCCCTTCCCTCCCTCCCTCCCTCCCTCCCTCCTCCCTCCCTCTCTCTCTCTCTCTCTCTCTCTCTTTATGATGTTCAGTGAACTTTTGTGCGCAGGTAACGGTACAAAAGACCATCAGCGGCCATGGACGACCAGCAGCGGTGGGCGAGAATCAGCAGGGAATTACGAGTCGACCTTCCTGCAGGGAGATATGCGACCGCCTGGAGGAATTTTGTCATCACACTCTATGAACAGGTGAGAGAGGGTGGGAGGCATCACACTCTATGAACAGGTGAGAGAGGGTGGGTGGGAGGTGGAAGGGTGGGAGGGTGGGAGGAATCACACTCTATGAAAGGTGAGGGTGGGAGGTGGAGGGTGGGAGGCATCCACTCCTCATGAACAGGTGAGATGAGGTGGGTGGTAAGGGCTTATGTCGGGATGGGCTATATACCGAAATAATGTTTGGTTAGGAATTTTGTCATCCACACTCTATTTGAACAGCCGTGAGACGAGGTGGTGGATTGGGAGGTGGTAAAGGGTGCGGAGGCATCACACTTCTTATGAAACAGAGTAGAGAGAAGGGTGTGGATGGTAGAAGGAGGTGGGTAGGTAATTTTTGTCATCACACTCTTATGAACAGGTTGAGCAATGAGGTTAATCTTTCAATATCATATTGTGGGAGGCTCACACTCTAATGAACAGGTGATTGAGAGGGTTGGGAGGCATTCACACTCTATGAACAGGTGACGAGAAGGGTGGGAGGCATCACACTTCTATGAACAGGTGGAGAGAGTTGGTGGGAGGGCATCACACTCTATGGAACAAGGGTGGCAGAGAGGGTGGGGAGGGGCAATCACACTCTATGAACATGTGAGAGGGGTGGGAGGCATTCACACTCTATGGAACAGGTTGATGAGACGGGTGGTTGGGAGGGCTAGGGGCAGGAATTTTTGTTCATCACACTCTATTGAAAAACAGGGTTGAGACGAAGGGTGGGAGCATTCACACTCTTATGATACAGGTGAGAGAGGAGGTGGGGAGGCATCACACTCTATGAACAGGTTGAGAGAGGGGTGGGAGGCATCACACTCTATGAACAGGTTGGGAGAGAGGGGTGGGCGAGGCATCACACTCTTAGTGAACAGGTGAGAGAGGGTGGGAGGCATCAACACTCTATGAAAGGTTGAGGAGAGGTTGGGAGCATCACACTCTCTTGAGGTTGAGGAGAGGTGGGAGGCATCACACTCTATGAACAGGTGAGAGGAGGGGTGGGTGGGAAGCGGTGGGGAATTTTTGTCATCACACTCTATGAACAGGTGTGAGAGGTGGGAGGCATCACACTCTATGAACAGGTGAGAGAGGGTGGGAGGCATCACACTCTATGAACAGGTGAGAGAGGGTGGGAGGCATCACACTCTATGAAACAGGTGAAGAGAGGATGGGTGAGGGTGGGAGCATCACACTCTATGAACAGGTGAGAGAGGGTGGGAGGCATCACACTCTATGAACAGGGTGAGAGAGGGTGGTGAGTGGGGGTATCCACACTCTATGAACAGGTGACGAGGAGGGTGGGAGGCATCACACTCTATGAACAGGTGAGAGAGGTGGGAGGCATCACACTCTGAACAGGTGTGAGAGAGGGTGGGAGGCATCACACTCTATGAACAGGTGAGAGAGGGTGGGTGGAAGGGGGAGGGTCATCACACTCTTATGAACAGGTGAGAGAGGGTGGGAGGCTATGGGGTGTTGGGAGGCATCACACTCTATGAACAGGTGAGAGAGGGTGGGGAGGCATCACACTCTATGAACAGGTGGAGGGGGAGAGAGGTGGGTGGAAGGTGGTCGAAATTTGTCATCATACTCTTTGAACAGGTGAGAGAGGGTGGGTGGAAGGGTGGGAGGAATTTTGTCATCACACTCTATGAACAGGTGAGAGAGTGGTTGGAGAGTGGAAGGGTGGGAGGGTGGGAGGCATCACACTCTATGAACAGGTGAGAGGGGTGGGTGGGAGGTGGAAGGGTGGGAGGGTGGGAGGATCACACTCTATGAACAGGTGAGAGAGGGTGGTGGTGGGGGTGGGAGGAATTTTGTCATCACACTCTATGAACAGGTGAGAGAGGGTGGGTGGGAGGTGGAAGGGTGGGAGGGTGGGAGGCATCACACTCTATGAACAGGTGAGAGAGGGTGGGTGGGAGGAATTTTTTGTCATCACACTCTATGAACAGGTGAGAGAGGGTGGGTGGAAGGGTGGAAGGAATTTTGTCATCACACTCTATGAACAGGTGAGAGAGGGGTGGGTGGGAGGTGGGGGTGGGAGGGTGGGAGTCATCACACTCTTATGAAACAGGTGAGAGAGGGGGGGAGGGAGAGGGAAGAGGAAGGAGGAAGGGTGGGTGGGTGGGAGGGAGGAAGAGAGGAAGGGAGGGTGGAAGGAGGAACAGAGACAGAAATATAGACAGAGAGACAGAAATAAAGGCAGAGAGACAGAGAATAAGGGCAGAGAGACAGAGATGATTAGATAAAAGCAGAGAGACAGAGACAGAAATATAGAGACACAGACAGAAGTATAGACAGAGGCAGAGGCAGAAGTATAAACAAAGAGACAGAGACAGAAATATAGACAGAGATACAAACAGAAGTATAGACAGAGACAGAAATATAGACAGAGAGACAGAGACAGAAATATAGAAAGAAACACAGACAGAAGGATAGACAGAGACAGAAATATAGAAAGAGAGACAGACAGAAATATAGAAAGAGACATAGACAGAAGTATAGACAGAGACAGAGACAAAAATATAGAAACACAGACAGAAGGATAGACAGAGACAGAAATATAGAAAGAGACACAGACAGAAGTAAAGACAGAGACTGAAAAATAGACTGAGCAACAGAGCCAGAGACAAAGACAGTAATATAGACAGAGAAACTGAGACAGAAAGAGCCACATAAAGAGAAAGAGCGAGAAAAAAAAAGAACGTCTCGCAGCATTTCCCCAGTTTCTTTGGGCGTTTCTCACCAGCTGATTTTTGGGCGTTCTCTCATCAGCTGATTTTTGGGCGTTTCTCACCAGCTGATTTTTTGGGTGTTTCTCATCAGCTGATTTTTTGGGCGTTTCTCATCAGCTGATTTTTTTGGGCGTTTCTCACCAGCTGATTTTTTGGGTGTTTCTCATCAGCTGATTTTTTGGGTGTTTCTCATCAGCTGATTTTTTGGGTGTTTCTCATCAGCTGATTTTTTGGGCGTTTCTCATCAGCTGATTTTTTGGGTGTTTCTCATCAGCTGATTTTTTGGGTGTTTCTCATCAGCTGATTTTTTGGGTGTTTCTCACCAGCTGATTTTTTGGGCGTTTCTCACCAGCTGATTTTTTGGGCGTTTTTCATCAGCTGATTTTTGTTTCTCATCAGCTGGGGCGTTTCTCATCAGCTGATTTTTTGCGTTTCTCATCAGCTGATTTTTTGGGTGTTTCTCATCAGCTGATTTTTTGGTGTTTCTCATCAGCTGATTTTTTGGGTGTTTTTTCACCAGCTGATTTTTGGGGTGTTTCTCATCAGCTGATTTTTTGGGTGTTTCTCACCAGCGTTTCTCATCAGCTGATTTTTTGGGTGTTTCTCACCAGCTGATTTTTTGGGCGTTTCTCATCAGCTGATTTTTTGGGTGTTTCTCATCAGCTGATTTTTTTGGTGTTTTTCATCAGCTGATTTTTTGGTGTTTCTCATCAGCTGATTTTTTGGGCTTTCTCATCAGCTGATTTTTTGGGGTTTTCATCAGCTGATTTTTTTGGGGTTTTCTCAGCTGATTTTTTGGGGTGTTTTCTCATCAGCTGATTTTTTGGGTGTTTCTCATCAGCTGATTTTTGGGTGTTTCTCATCAGCTGATTTTTTTTGGGCGTTTCTCATCAGCTGATTTTTTGGGCGTTTCTCATCAGCTGATTTTTTTGGGTGTTTCTCATCAGCTGTTTTTTGGGTGTTTCTCATCAGCTGATTTTTTTTTGGTGTTTTCTCATCAGCTGATTTTTTTGGGTGTTTCTCATCAGCTGATTTTTTGGGTGTTTCTCATCAGCTGATTTTTTGGGGTGTTTCTCATCAGCTGATTTTTTGGTGTTTCTCATCAGCTGATTTTTTGGGTGTTTCATCAGCTGATTCTCATCTTCTCATCAGCTGATTTTTGGGTGTTTCTCAGCTGATCAGCTGATTTTTTGGATGCTTCTCATCAGCTGATTTTTTGGGGTGATTCTCATCAGCTGATTTTTTTGGGGGGTGTTTCTCCTTCCACAGATAGAACACTGGATGGATCAGCGGCGTCGGGATGTCAGACATACCGTGTGGGACTTTTGTGTCGTACATTCGCGAAGCAGACGGGACCGTCACGCAGCTGCCGAGTTTAAGAGGCTCATGGAAACGACCTTAGGCATCATAGGTGAGGAGGCGTGTGTGTGTGTGTGTGTGTGTGTGTGTGTGTGTGTGTGTGTGTGTGTGTGTGTGTGTGTGTGTGTGCGTGTGTGTGTGTGTGTGTGTGTGTGTGTGTGTGTGTGTGTGTGTGTGTGTGTGTGTGTGTGTCGTTCAGAGGTGGGGGAGTTGGAAGGGGAAGGTGAGAGATAGATAGAGAGAGAGAGAGAGAGGAGGAGGAGTAGGAAGGGTTGGAGAGAGAAGGAGGGTTCATTTCAGTTCAGTTAATAATACCTTATTCCATTACTTAAAATGGTTCTTTTTACATAGACAATAGGTTTACTGTACAGATAACTATAAGTTACAGAGGGAGAGGGAGAGACAGAGACAGACACAGACACAGACAGACAGGATACAAAGAGACAGACAGAAACAGAGACAGACAGAGAAACAGACATACAGAGATAGAGGCAGACAGAGAAAGAAAGAACAGACAGACAGAGACAGCGACAGACAGAAACAGAGAAAGAGACAGCGACAGACAGAGAGAAAGAGACAGCGACAGACAGAAACAGACAGAGAGACAGCGACAGACAAAGACAGAGACAGAGAGAGACAGAGACAGAGACAGAGAGATTCAATAATCGGACTACTTTCTCCTGCAGGAAAAACCTTTGACGACATCGAGCTGGGCGAGAACACCCTGGAGGCGGCGTCGGCCATGGTGACGGGCAGCACCAAAGTGTTCATCATCGTCAGCAAATATTTAGAGCTTCCAGGTTATCCAAAGTTTGTCTTCCAGGTGAAGATGGACGTTACACACACACACACACACACACACACACACACACACACACACACACACACAGACGGCCGCCCTAGACACTCGTACACGACCCACTCAATTGGAATGTGCAACTAGAGCTAACTAGCGTCCATAGACATTACCTACCTACTGCAAGGGCGGCCATCTTGCATTCACGTGCAACGGCGGCGAGGGATCGAATCCCGATTGGAGAGGTTATAAATATTCATGATAAAAATGCGGTAGTGCATTATTCCACCTTTCATAGAATGCACCTCAGGTTATCTGATTTGGGATTTGTCCTGCTCTGTCCATAAATACCGAGTGCCCACGGGGAGTGTGTGTGAAACTTCGCTATCCTTACTCATGCATGAGTAGGTAGGTAATGTCTGTAGACGCTAGTTAGCTCCTAGTTGTACATTCCTTTTGAGTGGGTCGTGTACGAGTGGTCTTGGAATCCTCTTTCACGGTTATAGCATGCAAAATTATAAAACCTATAATATATATTATATATATATATATATATATATATATATATATATATATATATATATATATATATATATATATATTATATATATAGCACCTGTATAGTAAGAACTATACAGATGGTGTTCATAATGAAGATTGAATACACATACACGCGAACAAACATTTCAGATATGGACTTTATGAACCTTTATATCAGCAAATAATACATATTCCCTCTTTCTTCCATTCACTCCCTCTTCTCCCTTCCAAGAACGCCCTGATGGCCCAGCTGCAGCGCCCCGAGTGGAGGAGGAAACTGGTGCCCGTTTACCTGCCGGGGAGTCGGGACCCGGCGCCCTTGCTTCTCGCCGGTCTGCAGGGCTTCACGCTGGGCAACGACCCCCGGACAGTGGAGCTCGTGAGGACCTGCGCGGTGTCTCGTCCTTCTCTCCCTTTCTTGGGTTGTTTCTGCTGGTCTTCCTTTTTTGCGGGGGGTGCTTCTGCTTCTATCTGTCTACCCTGTGTGTGTGTGTGTGTGTGTGTGTGTGTGTGTGTGTGTGTGTGTGTGTGTGTGTGTGTGTGTGTGTGTGTGTGTGTGTGTGTGTGTGTATTTATATATATTTTATATACATATATACGAACGTATGTATGTGTATATATATGTATGTATGTGTGTGTATGTATATATATATATATATATATATATATATATATATATAATATATATATATATATATATATAATATATATATATATATATATATATATATATATATATATATATATATATATATATATATATATATATATATATATATATATATATATATATATATATATATATATATATATATATATATATATGTATGCATTTATATGTATATATATGCATATATATATATATATATATATATATATATATATATATATATATATATATATATATATATATATATATATATATTTATATATATATATATATATATATATATATATATATATATATATATATATATATATATATATTATATATATATATTTGTGTGTACATATGTATGTATGCGCATCCGAAACCCAACCTCCTCAGGTGAGCGGCGACATCCCGGTGGACTACCAGATGCGCGTCCGGCAGCAGCGGCAGCGGGTCGAGGCGCACCTTCTGGAGGAGCTCCGGCAGGGGAAGAAGCAGCGCCTGAATCAGATCCGCGAGGTGGTGGCTGAGCTCCTGGAGCAGTTCGGCGAAAACCACGACCCCACGGGAGCTCTGGGTCAGGTAAGGGCGCAGGGGGGGGGATATTAGGTCTTCGTTTAGGGTTGGTTCACCGTTTTCAACATATTCACAAGTGTACAAGAGAATGTTGATGTTCACGAAGGTTGCTTTATTCATGTCAACCTTTGTATAAAACATCTCAAAATACAGAATAAAAGGAAGAGAATATATACCACGGTTTACTCCTATGTTAGAGGCCAAAAAATGCCCATATGTTCAGTGATTTAGAACCTTTTGTACATTTTCATATATGGTCAGTCCTCTGGTTTCTGAATCTTTTGACATAGGGGCACTTTTTGCACGCGTAAAAACGGCGCCAGGTGGATTCTGCAGCGTGCGCCATATACAAAGAAAACGATCAACTTTTCCTTTTATTTTGAAGAGCGTTCACCAGTCCTTGGCCCTCTCCCCTCCGGTTTGTATGCTTGTGAAAACGTTCAAAATAGTGAGCCATCCCTTGCTAAAAAAAAAAAAAAAAAAAAAAGAGATCAGGCATTTTGAGATTTCTAAAAGCGACTAGCCAATGAATAGACGTGCCTCGCGAGATGGACACAAGAAAGAGTGAGCTATTTACCGATAGTTCTTTTGTCCCGAAGCGAAGACACGTAAGAACCAAGGGGAAGTCGTGAATATTATATGAAGTGCTTTTCTCAGATTAGTGAGCAAATAAGATCGACTGTTTACGACGCGGACGGGAGTGGAGCGAGTCAGGTCGTCAACATCTCCCAGAGCGCCTCCGTCAGCGTGGGTCCTTCGTATCACATCTCGGTCCACGTGGAGAGGGACACGCCGGGCACATCGCGACCCGGGACGCCCTTCAGCGACGATGACTTCTACAGCTGCTGTGAAACCTCTCCACTTAATTAATGCTTTTCTTTCTCTCTCTCTCTCTGTCTCTCTCTCTCTCTCTCTTCTCTCTCTCTCTCTCTCTCTCTCTCTCTCTCTCTCTCTCTCTCTCTCTCTCTCTCTCTCTCTCTCTCTCTCTCTCTCTCTCTCTCTCTCTCTCTCTCTCTCTCTCTCTCTCTCTTAGTTCCGTTCCAGCCATCAAGGAGAGAGGACCATTTTTTTTTAATATAACCTCTGCCTGCCTAATCACTTAGACAATGGGGCCTACAAATATATTTCGCTTTCTAATAAACAAGTGCGTGGCTCATGTTAATAAAATATCTATAAGGATCCAAAGCGACTTAAGGTGAAAAAAAAAAAAAAAACGTTGGTGAATTCATGCTTAGATACGCGTAATGAGGGATCTTTGGGGTTTCAACGTTGACCTAAAGCAAGTAGGTTTCGGCGAATGATCTGACCTCAGAACACCTGTTTATACAGTGATGACCCAGGCCCGTTTCTCTCTGTGTCTCTCAGTAAATGCCACGAATGCCGAAAACGAACGAACAAAGAAAAGGGCAAAGAGATAGTTAAGTAATGAGTCTGCAGAACTTGCATCCCCAGCCATCTATGTGCATACTTCAAGAGGGATACAACGCGACACATGGAGACAAATACCGTTGGGTGTCTCAAGTGCTGGAGATGGCCCCGTTTAACAAGACTAAAGGAGCCCTAGAATTAAGACTCGGACGAAATAATATCTCTGTACGGTTTAGATTGAAGAAATTCTTACACGTATAACTACGACCGGAGCGGCTGGAGATATCCTCGACATAAGCAGAGCACAGGGCACAGGACACTGTACTACCTTCAAGGTGTTCGATGTCCCGAGGGAAATTGACACCAATGATATCACGGAATACAATGAAAAGATTCTACACGCTAAACGACATCTATCATGTTTCAGCATATACAGCAGTTCCGGCATCTGCACCTGCTTCAGAACACAGGAAAGACAGGACCTACTGCAAATGTTGATGCAGAAGATACAACAAGTGATGCTCATAATGCAAAAACAATTTGCTCAGCAACTATAATTACAAGGGAAAAAATGTTTCCATTGGTCTTTAGACAACGGTTTACCCCTCTACAACTTGTAGCAGAACTTGAAAATCATCAGCTGACAACTAATGGCCCACAGTGACTTTGAGGGTACCACAATGGAACATAAAGATTTAAGGAAACTGTTCATTTTTGTAAAATCATATATATGTTTTTTTCAGTTATTAAATAGTTAATTAACAAATAAGACGAGCACTAATGTGCAGCCCCTCAGACATGTATATTTAATGCTTGATTTTGGCCCTTAATCAATATAAGTTCAGTCAGATTGGGTAAATGCTTGGACATCTTTCCCATGTAATAGAGCATGTAAACTGATCTTTTTTTTCAAATCTCTCTCTCTCTCTCTCAACCTAAGTTACTTCATCCCTTTGAGATGTAATTTTTCTTTCGTCTCAATAAACGTGTCAAAGTAAAAAGTCTCTCTCTCTCTCTCTCTCTGGTGTGAAGGCTCTTCTATTGATAATCTCCCATTATCCATATCCATACGCAGGTGTTCTCTTAAATTAAATCACAAGAACGAGACTGACTATCAGTGATTATTCTTAGATGAGGCTGATGCCCCTTTTACGTGAAGAAGTCCTTGCAGCCATTAAGACTAGCAAATTCACTGCACCTGGGGATGATGGAATCACTTAGGACATCATCCTTGCAAAGATACAGGTAAAGGGAAGAAATCCTCCTCTTAATCTCTTCAACTATGGAAACAAGTAACCATCATTCCCATTCTCAAACCATCCTGATTGATAGAGACCGATTTCTCTGACATCCTGTGTGTCTATAACCTGCGAAAGAATTCTCCTTCCTCTTTTACCCAACCAGATCAAAAACCTGATCCATCCCATCTGCCTTTGGCTTTTAAAAGGGAAAGGAACGTAAAAGTGTTTACCACAGTCATTAACCCTTTAGCGAACGTGGCCTTTACGGGCTCTCATCACTAAGGTTCAGAATCGATTACGCTATCTTAAGAACTAGATCGTCTATCAATGTGTTTTTGACGAGTTTTTGCATGATTTACGACCAATAAACACCACAAAAGCCTGCCTTAATGTTTTTATTTTCCCTCTACCATAACGATATAGACGTCAAAGAAGTGGAGAAAAGGCAAATTTAGGGTACATTGTTTGAAGAAGGAAAGGGAAAGAAGAATAAAGATGAGAAATACTTCCACGTTGCCTTTAGTGCCGCTAAATTCCAGCCAACAGGGCGCGGGGAACACCGGTCTAGTCCGCCTTTGTCTTTGGGCAAACTGATCAAGAAGGTCGGGTCGAGCAGATTCACGCTGGTCTAGGAGTGGAACATGTCCAAGTTAAGTTAAAATACACCTCTGGTCAAAATCTCATTAAAATGTGTTCATAACTTTTAGAAACATCAGAAAACACAAACTAACAAAAGAACAACAAATAAAGAAACAAACGGAAGTAACAATATGAATAAACAAAAGGTCATGGGGTACACGAAAACGATCTAAATGTGCTTATATGCATACTTTTACATCGCCCTGTAACTGTATTTCGTCTTTTAATCGCCCTGTAATTGTATTATGGCTCATTTTGTAGCTGAATAATAGATCTATTACATGATGCAATAAGGATTTGCAATATTTTCATGTGCTTCTTATAAAAGTGACATATATTTTCAGTATCCCTTTTTAGGGTGTCGAGATAGTGGGCTTCGAAAAATATTCACCAAAAAAAAGTAAGGTTGACTTCTCAAAAATGGCTTCTGCATATTATAGTAGAAGGATTGTTCTATTCAGACATGAAATCAGAATGGCTGTATGGTTTTTGGATTTTTGAGAATTTTAAAAAAATGGTCAATGTAGGACTACAGACCCCCAGATCACTGCCACCACTCTACACTATATATAAAATTTTGAGAAACCGTTAAGTGCTGGCAATGTCCGGAAGACCAGAATGCAGGTAGATGATAGAGGATTATGATATAGAGAGACTCTCGATACACCACCTTTGTAGGCACATATGCTGTACCAGACGCAATTTTAGTCCAAAATGAAAGTTTTATGGCTCCC